TTATCAGAACTAGTATGGATTCCTTCTTCTGTGTTTCAGTTTAAAAAAATAAGAGAGAAATAAAATACATGGGACAAACTGGGATACTATTGATCAATTGATCAAGTATGAGGCAGATCTTAAATTGCACAGCAATCTGTTCCACAGTCTTAAATCAGCCTTTGAGTGAGGTCAGCAAAGCTCCTGCTGACCAAAATTTCTTTTCCTCCACAGGGAAAGGATGAAATCAGCACACACTGTACCTTAACTTCCCTCACTCTCATGAGGCTGGGTATTTCCAGTAGTGTGCAGGGGGAGGTTTGTCCACCAAGTGTGGAGAACTCAGCACCTGGCAGAGTCTGTGACACCCAAAACATCAGCCTGCTCCTGCCCCTCTACTGAGAGGCCATCATTGGGGGGGATCTAAAGAGTTTCTTTGCCATGCTGAAGCCAAGGTCATGTGTGAAATATAAAAATACTGCGAATCCTGAGGTAAAACATAGGTATTAAGAAAACAATTATTTCTTGAAAATTCTGAATTATGTTAAGCTATGTTTCCTAATAATTTCTGAACAAGGGAGGTCTTTTTCTTTTTTTAACTATCAAAGCAAGAAACTGCTCTTCTTCCCATAGACCTGCCACTAACTCCAGCCATTCCTTTTCTGATTCAAGAAAGTCAGATGGATTCTGTGTTTCTTCACAAAGCAGAAGAAAAATGTTCATGCATTTTCATTGCAAAAATTTGTACTACTTCTACTAATTCAAAATTAATTTTTCCCTTCACAAAATACTTTTTTTATCAAATATTTTTAAAACCTTTCCTAGTTTAAACATAAAATAGATTTATGATGAAAGCCATAAGGGAAAAAATAAGAAAGACAAAGAAAAACACCCCTACAGAACATGTGAAATCAACTGTAAAAAAATTGTTTTAAGGGTGGAAGTGTACCAGAATCATGCTTGAATAGGTACCAGCTGATTCTACCAAATGGCCATCAAGGTCAAGGACCATCATAAAAATCAAAGCAAGGACTTTTCCTAGGCAATATTTGTTTTTAAAAATTTTGAAATAAAGTTCAGGGCTGCGGTCAATGTATTTGCTTTTCATGAACACCTCTGATTTATTTTTGAGAAAACCACTTCAGTTTAGCTGTTAAATATTGAATACTCCTTTTCCTACTTCAAGGTTCACAGAAGCAGATTTCTTAATATTTGTATCCTCTTTATGCATGAGTCCTCTTATTTATACAGCTCCTTATAAATCACATAAATGAATGACAGAAAGGACCAATTAGAGCTTTTTCAGGGTGGAATGGCTCTTAGATGGTTGTGCAGTCCCATTTTAATGGTTTCAGGTTCCACAGTTTCCCTGAGGAGATTATTTGAGAGCTTACTGCAATTTGTTCTCACGATAGTCAGCTTCAACATTTCCTTTTCCAATTCACAATACACTTACATCCAACATAATGTATCACACCTCTTGTGCTGCAAGGTAGATTCCATAAATCCTGCAATAAATTCATCACCTCTCCTTATGTCCTTATAAGCCTGCATTACTGAGTTCTGTAGCACATGCCAGCCTAGAAAGCAACAGCACAGTTATGCTTCTTTAGTGCTTTGCACAAAGAAGTAGCAATCAAATTCCAATACTACAGACATACTCTATTCAAGTACAAAATTAATTCACAAAAATTATCCACATTTTTTAAAATAATTCTATGGTTCTGTGTATTATAAGTATAAAATTCTGCCCCTTTTTTGTGCATGCTTGCAGAGTCTTAAGCCCATCTTCCCAGGGTCATATAATAAAATTCCAGGAGCAAGTTTTTTATCATGTGTCTCTGGAAGGATTCAAATAAATTTTCCAGTTCACTACCAAGTAAGCAGTGCTGTTGTGTGTGGCTGACTCTGCCCTGCCATGAAGGCTGATCCCTTCACCCCTCTCTTTATCACGTGCCAAACTGGTTTGCTTCCAGATTCCTAGCCTGCCTTTCCCATTCAAGTCCTGCCATGGGATTGCCCCTCTTCCGGGGCTCATGCTCAGTTCCTTCGCTGCTCAGATTTTATTACACAAGAAACAGAGCTTACATTCATCTTTTTACAATTTCAGATTAAAGGGGCTACAGAGATAGGGAAACACATTCCTGCAAGTTTAAGACTGCTAGGTTGTACATTTTTTAAGTTATCTGTCTTCAGTTATACTGATCAAATCAGAATTTTGAAAAAAACAAATGAAAACCAGAAACTTAACATCCTAGTAGTTCATGTATGTACATATTACATGAATTGTAATTTGATAACCATTTCCTAGCTTGTTTTAGAGGCTATATTATCCCTACTGAACAAGTGAGTTCTATAAAACTACAAAGTCTCCTGGAAACTCTGTCAGGTGTTAATGTGCTAATTAGAAAATAATTGACTAAACCCATGAAACCAGTAATAAAAAGTTAGAACACTGCTCGTTCACTCAGTAATACAAAACAAGTGCTCTAATAGCAAAGGTTTAAGAGCCAAAGGACCAGGCAGGTGCCTAACACTTTATTAGGGTTTATAACTGAGGAAGATGCTACAAATATCAAATGTGAATACAAATAATAATAATAATAATAAATCATTTTTGGAAGCTGGCTTTAGAAAACAAATAAAACACAACCAGCAGAAATGGAGAAGCCTGATTACATCTCACAGCTGAACCCATTCCAATACCCTCATTGTGTCCTACACCTACCAGATGGGGAAGAGCGTGCACTGGAGTGCTCTGACGGGCCATGTGTGGGAGCCAGAGGCCACCAGCTCCTCCCTGCTGACCTGCAGGACAGCTCTTACTGCCTGAAGAGCCTCAAGAGCCCTGAGGGAAGCTGCACTGAACTCCCAGGCTACGTGGCATGTGGGTCCTGTTAGAGAGAGTCTCTCCTTCATTCTGCAAAAAATCTGTCATTCATTACTGAAATCAGCCCCATATGGCTGAACCAGCAACCGGCCTGAAGTCACTGGAGAGGGAAAAAAGGTGAGGGCAGCCAAATTGTTTGGAATGCAGCCAAAATACTTCAGAGAGTGTAAGGTTAAAAGGGATCATCGGATCACATACTCTGACCACAGGCCAGTAAGCCTTACTACCAATCCCAAACTGAGCTAAGGAGCTTGTTTTTGATTAAAACCATTACATTTGCATTACATTATCTCAGCTCCTGACCACTGATTTTTTTTTTCTTTCTCTTCTACCATTCTAAAAAGCTTTAGCACAGCAAATCTTGCAGATCTTTTTGACAAATTGATAATGGGTTCAGAATGTAATCATTATAAGAGTTTTTCTCCAGTACTACAATGTTCTGCCAGGTCTTTCCTGCACCACTTGATCTTTAATGTCAAGAACCACACACCTTGTTCTACTTTCAGTTCCCATTAATACACACTGTAATGCTGGTAGTACATCCAACAGTCAGACTGGACATGCCATACCTTATCCAAAACAGCTTGCTTGACATGATTTTTAGACAATTTTTTCTAAGACATAAGCTCTCATTCCAGAGGCATGGCTTGTATTCCTGGAAAATTTGGCAGTAAATCTGGCCTGCACATTTGGCTGTTTGAAAGTGTTAATTTTATTAAGCAGCCCAGATGACATTGCAGTTGCTCTCACAGTAGTTTACTAAGTTACCATTTAGCACATCCACAGATTTCATTAACAGCGAGTTGATCTTGGATCTCTGGTAAAAATCTTGAAAATGCTGAGCCTGCAGAAACTTGCACACCCCAAAACCATGAAGACAAGCCTCTGAAAACTCGTCTTTCAGAAGTTCAAAACTATTTCTCTATTTAACACATTGACCATTCAACGGCATTAGTCATTAGAAGTACATATGGTATTAACCAAAAGACTCAGAAACCATTTTGCAGTTCTAAGCCTACTAGATTAAAAACAGAAGCCGTGATGTTTCTGCAATTACTCTTATCAATTTACCTGTGTTACTGAATAAGGCTATCAGAATTGTTTTATAAGTCGAGGCGATCAAGGTGATTGACACTAAGGATAACTTATTCATCCCTTTATTAGGAGATAAGCTTATCTCTCTTGTTTCTTTTTCTAATGTTTTGCCTATGGTTTATGTTAAAACAGTAAAGAACAGTACAGGACACCCAGCTTGATCTTTTGAAAATGGACAGAACACGAACGATTTTCTTTACTTCTTAATAACTTACTTTTCATTTTAAGATTTATTAAACCCCAAACTTAGCTACTTCCTCAGCCAACTCTGTCAAGATCCCACGGTGCAAATTAGCCAGACTTCATTAAAAACTGTCTAGGTTTGCTTGGAACAGAGCTTTCCCCACGGACCGCACAAACTGCAGCCGCGTGATGCCAGCAGCACCCCTGGCTTCTCCCAGCTACGGCGGCGGTGCCCACCCAGCCCCACCGCCGGGCGCTCCGTTACAGCCGCGGCACCTCCCACCATCTCCAGCCCGGAGCGTTCCCCTTTTCCTCTGAATCCCCCCTCGGCTGCCGTACTCCCAGCGGAGCCCTGGTTCGGGGTTCCAGCGAGGTGCCAGCACCTGCGCGGCCCTGCCGGCAGCTCCCCGGGGCCGCCCCCGCCTCACTGCCCCTCCAGCCGCGGGGGATGCGGCGCCGGCGTGGCCCCCGGGCGCGGGCGGGCGGCGCCCCTCATGCGGCCGGGCGGGGCCCCGCTCCCGGCATGCCCGAGGGGGACTCTCCGAGGGTGGGTAGGTGGGCGGAGGGAAGGAGGGCGGGAGGGCGCGCGCCCACCCCGCCGCCGCCGGCGCTGCTTCCCATTCCCACCCGACGCGGAAACCGGCGCGCAGCCGAGCCGCTGCTGCCGGCGCGCAGGGCGCATGCGCGGGCGGCCGGGAGGGCGGGGGCCGGCGTTCAGCGGGGAGCGCTCCGGCCGCCGGTGCCGCCCGCACTCCGCGCTCCCGCCCGCCGCCGCTACCCGGGACCGGCGGCCACCTCCGCGCGGAGCCCGCGCCCTCTCCCGCGCCGCGTCCTCCCGTCGTCCTGCCCCGCCATGAAGTTGAGCAGCCGCGGCCGGGGATGCTGCGCGGGCGGCAGCCGGGAGCGCGGGCCGCCGCCGCGGAGCCCCTTCGTGCACCAGCTGCGCTTCAGCCCCCTGCAGAAAGCCAAGGTAGGGGCGTGCGGCCGCCGGGCCCCCCTTCCTCACCGCCGCCGCCGCCTTCCGCGCATCCCCCGCGGCGCACCGGCTGCCGGGCCGCGTCCTGCGGCGGGCGGGGGCTCCGCTCCAGCCGGCGGCGCTTTGTGAGCCCGGAGCCGGGCAGCGGGCGGTGCTGGGCGTGTGCGAGGCGGCGGCCGGGGGCGGCCGTGCCCGGGCCGGGTGGGAGGGAGGGAGGGAGTCTGGGGGCGGCCGTGATGCTCGAGTGCGGGGCGTGCGCCTCAACTTGTGCTCCCGTGCCTCCTTCAAAGGGAAAAAAAAGCTGTTGGTGGTTTTTTGTTTGTTTGGTTTGGGGGTCTTTTTATGGGTTTTCTTGGCGTTTTGAGGTTTGGGAAATTTTTTTCAGTTTTTCTGGTTTTCGGGGGGTTTTTTTGTGTTGTGTTTTTTTGGTTGGTTTTTTTTTTTTTTTTTAATGGGGGACGGGGGAGCAGCCCTGCGGAGCCGCTCTTTTTCAGTGTTAAGTTAAGGAAGGTATTAACCTGGGCCGAGGCATCCCGGTGCGGCTGAAGTTTTGCCCCTGGATAAATAGTCCCTGCGGCGTAATTTAGGTATTGTATTGTGCAGGTATCGGTGAGACTACGGGAGGCGGTATTAAAATGCAAATTTGCAGTTGCGTGGCGTTTTATTTCATTGTTTGGTTTTAGGGGTTTTTTTTCTCCCCTCCGAGCCTCTGCCTCGCCTCGCACGGTGAGCAGTAAGTGGTCGGGAATTCAGAGGGCATGGCCCTTGTCTTAGGCTTTCGGTAAGATCTGGGTCACTGGCTGGAGGAAGAAATACCGTCAGAGGCTCACCTAATGAGGGAATGTGGCCATTTCTGCCACTTCCATCACTGTAATGCTTCATAATGCTGTTGTTTTGGGCGCCTGACAGACAACCTTCAGTACCTGCTAACATTGGAAATGGTGATTCACTAATATTAAACCTCTTGGGTCAAGGCGCTTTAGATCCAGCTTTGATTTGCATTTGAATGAAGTTCGTTGTTGCATTGCCCTGTTGCTGCCCAGATGCTTAACACAGGATATGTATGGCCTGACTTAAAAAAAACATCAGAATGTGCCTCATTTATCAGACAGCCAAGGAATTTATAGTATATTCAAGCAGAAAAGGTTTTCACTTTTTATTAAGTTGCCCAGTATGTATATTCAGTGGTTGCTCATTAATTGTTGCTTGAACTGGAAAAGGGAGAAAAGGTTTGTGTCATCTACTTAATTTAGTTTTTATCTAGAGCTTCCTCAATAAATTGCATAGTTGCAAAGATTTCCTGTCCTTTCCAAACCATACTTTGTTCCTGAAGTCATGATTAATGCAGTTAATGAGGTAGAAGTCTTTCAGGGAGCAGAGAGAAGCAAAGATAGCACATGTTCATAGGGACTAGGATTGTCTCCAGTTATAACAACTAATGTCGCTTTCTGCTTGGCTATTTATAAAAACTTTTTAAAATACTGCTGGGAGAGGAGAGCAGACTCTGTTTGACAGTTTTTGCAGTATGGAGTCTCACAGGAGCTGCTAGCATTGCTGATATTAGTCCTGACAGACCTTGAGGTACAGTGTCTGGCTGTAGAACACACCTGCTTTCTGCGTGGGCTGCCCTGTTCCTAGGGATAAGATGTGAGCTTTGCCAATGGATTTCAAGGATTTGTTGTTTTCAGTGAAGATGAGATGTGTTCAAACTGCTGTAGTTTGTCACAGTGCACAGGCCAAAGGAGCAGCCTCCTCACCAGACTGTGTCTCACTTGCTTTTTAAGCGAGCAGTCTGTCACTGACATACAGCAGCACCGAGTTCTTTAACCCAGCCTCCCTTCAGTCTTACTGTTGCAGTTTTATGCAGGAAAAAGTCCATAAGCTGGAATACAGAACTGTGGTAGATTTTTTCCTTTGGCTTAGTCATGCTTTTCCAGCCTCTTCACTGATTAAAAGTTGTGCTTGAGGCAGAAGCTGTTAAAGCAGCGCTGTGGAACCGCTCCACTTGAGAAGAAGTGCTCCCCAGATGAATTACACAAGTGAGAATTCTCCTCCGAACAGCCTTGTAGAGCCAAGGAGCTCTCGGTGTGAACTATTGCAGCTGAACTCACTTCCTGCTCAGCTGCAGGCATGCATTGTGTCACAGGCTTTTCTGCCTGTCCTGAGAACCTAACGGGGTTCCTGGGATTGCACAGGCTGTCGAGGAAGGTTAGGAATGTAGCTACACAAAGTAGGGAGCCCGGGGGACTGGGAGACAAGACTGCTTTGTCCCATGGTCTGGTGTCTGTTGCTGATGGTGTGCCAGATAGCCCCATTATCTTTGCTACAACCTCTTCCTGCACTCTGCAAGAGGTTAGATTAGCTTTTTTATTCATCAGTGCCGCTCAGAAGTAGATGCTTTTTAGCATGTCCCAGCCCGAGACTGTGGGAGGGAAAGAAAGGTAGAAAGTGAGAGGGTAAATAACCATGAGGAGAAAGAACAACAGTACAGAGAAATCCTTCTGACCATCAAGGAACTGTTCAAGTCATCTTTCATTGACTTCAGAAAAACTGGGAGATTATAAGAGCGTAAAAGCAGTAAGGCTGTTTCAGAACAGTCTCATCTGTAGAAATCATGGCTATTTTACAGTGATCTGAGGGTAACAGTAGGGGTTATTCTTGAAACTACCTGTTTTATTTCAGTACTATAATAAAAATATTCTTTCTGTGAGAAAGACAGACATGATTTTATTAACCATGGATTTTATTCATACTAACATTTTCTGGGCACCTGTCATGTAAGTCCAAGCTCTTGATTCTTGTTACCACTGCAGAGCAGGCAGAAGCATTACTGGAGCTGTCAGTAAGCATCTGTAGCTTTTTTCCCTGCTGCTTCCAAACACAATACAGTGCCATTTTCCTTTCTTCCAGTGTTTCTGGCCCTTTTATTTCACCAGTGCTGGTGTTCATTTGGTGCCTTGGTGAGCTGATTTGGCTCATTAAACCAGCATATCATTGTGTTTTTGTGTTCTGATTATTTTCTTTTGCTGGATAGCTGTGTTTTTTCTCACTAATGAGCTATATTGGCTCATTGGTGGCTCACATAAGTGCTAGAGCTGACTCAGGGGGAGGATTGAGGAGGGAGTGAGCAGGACCACTCTTTCACAGCAGCGATCTGTTAGATTGGCTTAGCTGCACAGGAAAATATATCCTGCTGTATTTATCTCCATGGATGTGTCTGCTGGGGAACTTGCAGAGAGGGGAAGTGGGTAGTGAGAGAATGGTTGAGGGATTGATTCCTAGCTCCTGCACTGCCATCTTTGGTGAGTTGAGCTATAGCGTGATAATAGTGAGGAAGTGTAAGATGTAATTTCTATCTGATAAGTGTAAAAGAAAAATCAAAACATCTACTGTGTCAAATAGTATTTCCTTTCTCAGTGTTGTGACTGCTACTTTGTAGCAAGTCATGGAAATTTTGTTGGGAATAAACTGGTTTTAGTGATGTTTCTTATGGTATTGGTAATTTCCAAGTTGCATTTTTTTTAGCTTCCCTGTGCATGAGAGCTGTGATACTGGTTTTCAAGATAGGAAACAGACCTAAGAAGTAGAAACAAGGGTACTCTGTGATTCTCTTGCTAAGTGCTTAGGTACGTAGCACCAGATATTTTGGAGAACTTGAAACTTGAGTTCATATTTTGTGCCTTCGTTGTGAGGTCATACTTAAATCTGAATGCAGTCTCTCTAAACAAGGGGAACATATGATACCTATTTAGTTTAAGTGACTTGCCTTATATCAGATTTAAGCCCTTCTGATGGAAGAATGGAGATCAGTTTCCCAGGGCAGCCTTCCATTACAAGCTGTCCATAGGTCTTTCACAGTACACACTGCAGCTTCTGAAAAACTCAGTTGGATGCTGTAGACCAGCAAATGTTAAATAAGCTGTAGTCAACCCTCTCTTGAGATTTCCTTGGTCGTGAGCTGAGCCCCTCAAAGTACAACTCCAGACAGACCTTTAGAGTTTTTTTTAATGTATCTCAAAACACAGGTGTTCACACATTATTTGTTGCCAAACAGAATTCATATTTTTAATGGAAGACATGTCTCTGTGAACATCCCAAATATGTAGGAATGTGATCACCAAAATAGTGTCCACATAAGGTCAGAGCCAGAGTGTATGTCTCCTGCATTCTGGTCTCTGGCAGTGGCCAGTGGGGACAGGATCTTCTCCTTTTTTGTCTGACACTGACACCGTTGCTGTACATAGGTTTTACAGGATAGAAGCCTTCTTACCTGAGGATGTCTGAATGTAGATACAGACTGAGCTACTTTTCAATTGTTTGTACCTTTCTTGATTCCTAACCTTCTTCAGGAGGTAGACATGCTTTTCTCTTCAGCCAAATTTCTTGTGTGAGCAGGTACTGAACTACTGCCTTCTAAAAAGAGGCTGGTGTCACAGCCAGACCCTGTACATTTGGTGCATTTGCTTCTTGCTGGCCATTACTATCCCTGCTGTCTCTGGAAGACCAAAAAGCCTTTTCTGCACATTTATGCCATCTTCTATGGCATTATGGGTGCAACTTCTGCTTTCATTCTGTGATGTGGCACTAAAATGATCATTGGTACAGAGAGTCAAGGGATGGAATACCTCACTACCAGTCACCTGCCATTCACCTTTGCCCTGAACTAGGAGAAGTGGTAGGGAGGAAAGGGGTGTGAATCCCAAAGGTCTGTGTCCTCACCTGCATTTTACTTCACTTATTTCTTAGTGGCTGGTCCTTCTCATTTTAGAAACTTAGAAGGCAGCTGCTCTCATCTCCAGAATGCTCCTTTATTTGCTGACAGGCATGGTGGTCTTGTCTGTGGATGCAGAGTTGTGTGAGTTGGTGTAACTTTGGTGCTCATCTGACCATTGTAGTGTGTGAAGTTTTACTGGTTCATCTGGGAAACTAGCCTAAGAAAAAAAAATTCCTTTTTCTGTCGGTTCTGCAAACTAAAGCAGAGTCTACATAGGGACTGGGATCCTCTTCTGTAGAGTGAGGTTGTGGTTATTATGAGATGATGGTGCCAGTCTGAACCAGCACTGTAAAATCCAACTGCAGTGGGCTGGTAGCTTAGGGCTTGAAAGTGGTATCTTGGGCTTTTCTCCTGCTGTGTGTTCCCTGCACTTACCCTAGATTTACAGATTTGTGCACCTACAGAGTGAGTTGGTTGTTGAGCTGTTTTGGGAAGTGAGAGGAAGTGGGGAGTGAGCTGCATGATGACTAGATCTGCATTGGGGAAGAGAAGAAGGTGAATTAATCTTTCCAGAGCAGCCTGGAGATGCATCAGATTAAGCACAACATGAGACAGCACCTTATGCATGGTTACTCATCCTTGCCCAGCTATTGTGATATTGAAAAGTGTGCTTTTTTTTAACCTTATCTGGCACATCTGGAATTGAATGGTATTCTGCTGTTTCTACTATTAGATATTTTTAAGTTAAGAAATGGTATCAGTTTCTAGGAATCACTGACCTTTTCAGTCTGAAATTGTGTTGGAATAATGTTTTTTTTATTTTATTTTGCAGATTGCCTTCATGACCTTGACTCTGTTTCCTATCCGACTCTTTTTTGCTGCTTTTATGATGTTGCTGGCCTGGCCTTTTGCGTTCATCGCTTCAATGGGATCTGATGAGCAAGAGCTTGAAAAGCCCCTCTCCTGGTGGCGAAAGTGAGTCACTGGTGTGGTGAGATACTGACAGGATCATTGTAAAGTTCAGCAGTTCAGAATAGAGGGGATGGGAAATAGCTTTTAACTGTCTCAGAGACCTACTCTTCTCTTCAAAAGAAAAATATAAAAATTATTAAACACTTTCCTCAGCTGGGAAACTAGAAATGCCTCAACTCTTTGATTTGCCAGGTGGTCCAAGAATTACACTGGTAATCTCTGGCTTCTTATCTTTATTGAGGAGGTAGTGTGAAGCTTTATTGTGGCATCTTCCATTGCATTTATTCCTGTAGTGTCAACTTCTGGTTATGAAGATTGACTCTGTGGAATGTGCCCAGATTTCATATTCTAAATTGTTGTTTTAAACTGCTCTACCCCATTGTCTTCTACCCTGTGATGAACTGACAAAACTGGTGTTGATTCCCCGAGGGCTTGCCCATACTTTGGTGCTTATTGAAAGTCTGTGGTTGCTTTGATATTGCAATGCTAATTTAGGTAGTCCTCCATCCATGAAAACTGCCATTTGAGGAGTAGAAAAGGAGGGACATATCACCTTTTCTATAGACAACTTTAAAATTAGGAGCTGGCATTAGCATGAAGGAAGCTGATTGTGTTTTGCATCACAGGAGGGAAGGAGGTTGAGAACCATTTTACATTTCATTTGGAGTGATATCAATACAATAACTAATGGAATAATTGACTGCCTTCAGTCTTGCATACAGTTATTTTGAATCTTTTTAGATTCTCCTTCCTTATTTATTCTAATTTTCAGTGTTACCCTGCTCTCCAGCCTCCAATCCCTGTAAGTGTTACAATTTGTGGTATTCAATTTTTGTACTCTGTTGATTCAAAGTTTTTCTTTTCATGACTGTCAGACAGTTTAAAAAGACAAACAAAATTCCACAAAAAAACCTTCTCCACCCCGCCAAAAAAAAAAAATCCGCAAGAAACAAAAATCCAAATCACTTCAGGAGAAGATGACGAAAGGGAAGAAAGTAAAATATTTCCAGAGCTCTCATATGTATCCTGTAGGCCTCCCTGTATTTGAGATTTTTTTCCCTACATTTGTCCTGTTTTGCTTGGGTAAACTTGAAACCAAGAACCAGGGTAAGTGCATTCTGGCAATATCCTAATAGCATATTTTGGGACTGAATTTATTAGAGCTTTTTAGAAAACCTTATTAGGCATTGTGTAGAAGAAACTTAAGTCATAGTCCGAATTGAAATTAATGATGAAGTAAATGATGATCTTGGAGACTAGAATGAATTAGTGTTCAGGTATAAATGAAGCTGAACAGCATCTTACCTAAAAAGTGGTTTTAAATCAGCTGAGAAAGAGAAGAACAAAGTACGTGCAGTGCTCCAGCTCCGTTTTAAGTATTATATCCTATCTGAACTTTTGTATTGTATGTCATTTTTAATTTTATTATTTAAGGTGTTCCTGTGGCAACATACCTGTTTTCCCAACTCTTTACAGGATAGTGGATATTTTGCTGAAGGCAATAATGAGAATGATGTGGCTTGCTGGTGGATTCCACTGGATAAATGTAAAAGGCAGACGGGCATTGCCAGCAGAAGCAGCAATATTAACGGTGGCTCCCCACTCTTCCTACTTCGATGCCATTCCAGTGACCATGACCTTCGCCTCCATTGTGATGAAGGCAGAAAGCAAAGATATCCCTGTTTGGGGAAGTAAGTGGGTAGATACTTCATTTTTCAAGAACAATTTAAAAAAGATTGCTTAGGAAGTTCACTGGATGTGTATGAGAAGGATTGAAACAGAAAGGAAAATTTGGTATAATATATGGTGAGAATTGTTTTTCTAACTGGTCAACTCTGAATGCCAACAGAAAAAATTGGGGCAGGAGGGGAATGTTGTTTTTCCACTTTCTCTTAAGTCAAATCCCATCGAAACTCATGGTTTAATTTGCAGTGAACTTGTAGCATTTTAAGACCTGCCAGATGGAAAAGCAAATTAGGATGGGGCTATGGAAGCAAAGACTTATGCTAGAGACAAAGTCTACCAAGGCTTGGTGCCAGCTGGGGTGCCCTCCCAGAAATGTGTTTTAGGAATGTGGTCTGCTCTGAACACTACCCTGCCTTGAGGGAGTGCTGCTAATCCTTCACACATCAATAAGTTTGTTTCAGGCAGAGTGTGAGAGATGAGCACAAGAGCAGATTGGTGTGCACTTGAGGTTAGTCATGACAAAAGCACATGCCTGAGTCAGTAGTGCTTGAATACTGTCTTTGGAATTATTCATATATGTTCTCACAAATATTTGAGGGATACCTGTGATTTTTGGTGCAGTTGTGACAGGCAAAAAATTGTGTAATCTTTTGGACTTGTGGACTTCTAACCAAAGTCTGTGTGGAATCATTTTGGAGAAACCCAGCATCTTGTGTCTAGTGACCAGCAAAGTTCAAGAATATCCCTGTGTCTCATTGTGTAGATTTTTATTGGTAATATAAAAGTGACAAAAGATTTTACTTCAACCGTGGGTAGGATTCTTAAATGCAAAAATCTAAACAAAAGCTTTGAGCTCCTTTGCAGCTAAGTGGAATCAGGCTGTTGGTGCTGACATCCTTCTAAAGTTTAATTTGACAATGTGTTTTTAAGGTCACATTCAAAGCCAGAAGCTGAGACATGGCCACAAAGGGTGAGTGGTTGGCTATGGAAGTTTCATTTGAGGAATTTTGTCATATAAGGGTCTGCCTGTATGAGGTAAAATTCAGGCCAGATCTGTAGTTGCATCTTAATTTTGTTGCATATATTACTAATGGCATTTAGAAAATTGTGGCAGTGAAAAATCTATGTAAAAATGAATAGATCCTTTGAAAAAATGAAAAGGGTGCAAGCAGGCATGTGTTTCTGAAAACAAGTGTATGCAAACAACACTGTGTGAAAACAAAAAGAAACTGAACTCTCTTGTTCAGTACTGAAAGAAGATACTGTTGTGAGACAGTATGTTGGCAGTCTTGTACAGCACAGGTGTATCCAGGCCAACTTGGGCTTTAGGAGCAGTCCAGACATAGAAGCAGGGGCTGATTTATCTTCTTTCTCAGGTGACTCAGTTGACTGTTTAATAATTGCTGGCTCAGCAAAATAAAAGTAGTCTGTGTGGAGCTCCCTTTGATTTGAAGGTGGTCTGTCTGGAGGACCCAAATTAAATGGGGTCCAGTTGTGGTACTGCAGTCCATGTTGTGGTACTGCAATGGGATGAAAAGGCAGAATGGCATTTGACAGTGCTGTAATGACTACTGAAGTATTCCACATAGTAGAGTCAGTGGGAACCAGGAAAATCTGTAGGGATATGGAGATTGTTGTTCCCCTGAATGTAGCACAAATAATATGTATTAAGAAGATAAAATTATTTTCTAAATATCTAATTTAATTTTGAGGTGACTTTTACAGCATTCCATTGAAAGTCTAGACTGCCTACAATACATTTTAAAAATTATTCACTTCATTTAGTTCGTGTGTGAGTACAACCAGTTACAGAAAAAGAGAACATGTAGTGATTTGATGGAATATTACTGGAATGTACAGTGCAGTCATATAAATGAATGTTTTGTCTTGTATAGCTGCATTTACTTTATGCTGTGCAACCACAGAAGTTATGTAGTCACTTGTGAAATGTTCACAAAAATGCCACAGAAGTGAGACATACCAAAAGTCATAACTGGGATTGAGAGTTCAAAACCATTTTTGTTTTTAGGGGTGGACTTCTATATGAGCAACATCAATTACAGTAGTTTGTGTTCTTTAGGTAAATGGACCTTAACAGAGAGGTTAGTAATCACTGTATTGATTAGTTTGGCTGATTTTTTTAAATCTCTTTTACTGCTTTGAGAAGTTTTCTGTGAAGCAGATAGTGCTGACTATCCTCTCCTTTGATTAGTATTTTAATCCAAATGTTATTTACACCTCTCTACATGGACACACATAAAAAATACACTTCATGTTACTGGACCACTGATATTTCTCTTGTTCTTATGTGATAATGTGCTCATGTTTTTGTTGGATTGCTTGGTGAATTGTGAACACTCTAGACACTCATCCAAAATTTATCCCAGTGAGGTCAGAATCATGTTATGTGTTCTTCAGTTTTGTAAGTCCTACAAGCTTGGTATACCATCTTCAGTAAGGTTTTGGAGCCTGTCACTGATGTTCCTAAACTTGTTATCTCTTGAGTCTTGTGAATGGTTGTTCTGAGTCTTCTGGGAAGCTTTGAATAAAGTACATTCATTTAAGTATCTGAGCAGACTTAAATATGTAAAAAATGAAGTGGCAGAGGAAATTTAAAGACAATTTCCAAGGATGAGGACTTTGGGTGAAGAGTACATCCTCATCCTGTATATTCAAGTATGATATAAATAAATGACTTTTTGATGTAATGACAGTGTTTATTAAGACATTGTACACTGTATACCAGAGGGATCAGGTGCTTTAGCAGGCACAAAATGATCTGATTGCTAAATGGTTACTAAGATTGGTTCTGCAAGCATCTTAATAGGTTTCTGGAACAGCTGCCTATATTATTGTACTCTTAGTTAGTCAGTCATGGAATATTAAGCTTCTGATCCACTTGAAAGTCCAGATGATTAAAAGCCTGTTCTTTATGGGATTGGAAGTACTCCACAACTGTATTTGTGTATGAGGGTTTTATTGCTGTCTAACTTGAAGGCAGCTCTCCTGGTTTGTAAAGTCCAATTTCAGAAGCAGACTTGTGTCTTGTGACTCTTACAGATATCTTCATCCTTTTAAGGAAAACAAAGAAAACCAGATTTAAAAATGCCCTTTGGTTCTGGGAGAAGAGTTATGAACTCTTCAGTCAGTGGTCAGTAGTGAAGAAAATTATCCATTTGGCACACACACAAGGTTAACAAACTCCGGGGAGGAACTGCTTGCCCAAATATAAACAGTATTTCAATGATCATAAAAAAAACACCCCAGTATCTGGAAGTAGAGAATGCCAAACAGATGGAATATGTCATGATGCTGAAGGAAGATGAATGTTTCTATACAATGACTTGCCAGAGTTTTGGTAGATTGGAGATGTAAATTTTGCTGAAACACTTCAGTCTTACGGTGGGAAAATGGCATGTAGGATTCTGTTATACCTTACATGGTCTTAAGAAGTCAGATCAATTTATCAGTACAGATCCTTAAACATCCCTGTTTTGTCTGCTGAATCCCACTTCAATTCAGGACAAGGTTTGTGCATAAATTTTGGATAGTTCACTGTCTTATTTTTGGCAGTTGAAGCAACCTGGATGAAAGTAGTTTTTCATTGCTGCAGTGATTGGTCCTGCTGCAGAAATGCTTCAGTAAGAAGGACAAGGAATTTATCAGTAAATATGAATTGATGGAGACTTGTGACCACTTTTATGATTTGAGCATTTTCAGTGGCCTGAACTTTTAGGAACTAAATATAAGTGAAAAGTTAATTTAAACTTTAGGCAACTTCTCAATATCTCTAACACCACTCTCTGAAAGAGAGGGAATTGGTACCTGTGAAATGTACAGGATGATATGTTACCTTAAGTTTATAAAGGGGAAGGAGGTAATTTGTGTTTGGCAGAACACAGCAGAGCTACAGAGAAAGGGAGAATCATACAGTGCTATAAAACTATCAGTTCTGTTGTAGATGGTTTTTTCCACACCTAGTAAACTCATGAAATTTTGTTCAAGCTCATTTTTTGAAAGTGCGTTATAGGCCTTTCTCAAGCATCATGACTAAAAGATGAGAATGAAAGTAATTCAGGGGAAAGAATTTATGCTTGGGTAGCTGGCTATGTTTTCATCTCAAAACTTAAAAGGTGCCAAATTACCCACTAGCCTTGTTGTGCAACCTAATCCTTTAGTCCTGCATCCCAAGTGCCTCCCCACCCCTTCCATACAGCACAAGGAAGAGAACTGTGGTAACCCCATAGTTCTTCTGTGAGAATCCCACATTTAAACACTTAGGAGATTAACTAAAACAGTCCTTAAACTCTTTATGGAAAAATCTGTTCTAAGGTGAAGGCATTACAGATTTCTTCTCTTTTATACACTGTAAATCAGGGGCTTGAATGCTGAGGTCACCAGGATGAATGCCAGCATCCTATGCTGTGTTGGCATTGTAGCCTGCCTTGAGTACACACTTGAGCTCCCCATTTCTGAGCAGCATCTTGAAGGTGTTGCCAAATTTACCCATTTCATCTTCTCCTTTAAAACCCTCTGTTTCAAAATTCAATGTTTCCTTCAGACTGTGGGCACCCAGATGGTCCTGCAAGATTTCAGTCTCACAGAAGCTGTCTCAGAGAGATTTAAAATACTTGCATTGTCACCTGTGTGTTATAGGTATGTGTTTATCATTTGGCTTAGAGTCCTGGAAAACTCTGTAAAAATTGCTTGTCATTTAAACTGCTGCTGGAATGCTTTTAAACCACCATCACTAGTTAATATCATTTATTGAAGTTACAAACTGCAGTATATAGGAAACCTTCAAACCAATACTGCTGCCTGCCTTAAATACTTTTTAGATTTGCAGCAGAAAGCTAAAACATTAAATCATGTCCTCATAGAGGTGTTGCAGGTGTCTCTGAGATAAAAAAGAAGTCTTTGTCTCTCAAGGAGTCCTTAAAGGAAGTGGGTCACGTTTGGAAAGACCAACCCAAATACCACAACTTCCTTCTGTTAAAGCTAAAGAGGACACCAATTATTTACTTCCCACTGCTGACCTTTCCTTGTCCTATAGGCTGCATTGTTTCCTGCCTTTCTCTTTGGAAGCAGGGAGAAGAACTTTCCCATTAATGCTGCCTCCCATTCATTAATGCCATGAATACTTGGCATGCCTGCAGTCAGGTGGTCCATCTGCTAAGCATTTAGTCAGACTTGGACACGTTTTCTTCACATACATTTATCTTCAGTGGTTGATTCAGACTTGAGTCAAATAAGTATATATATTAGATATAAGTCTGTATATAAAATAAGATACTACCACCAGCTTTACAAATCTCTTACAGAGTGTCATGACTATAAAAACCCTTCTTTTGTAAGAACAATGTAATCCCAAGTGCAAAAGATCCTAATTTTGGTTGAATTAAGCTTTGTGCATTGATACACCTTTTTCTATTTGGTGTGTGTTATGTTTCTTGAGTTTTTCCATTTTTGAGGTCTCTGTCTATATGCACAGGAAGTAATTGTAAGAAAACCTTAATGATTTTCTTCCCCAATAACTTTCAGAATACTTTTGAGCTTCTTACAGATTTTTCTTCTTTTCTCTACAGAAAAGAGCAGTTTTCATGTAAGATGTTACTTCATTAGAAAAGTTGTGAGTTCAGAACTTCCTGGGCGTGTAGAGCTTTTCAACCTTTATCCTTCATGGGTTTTGTACCCCTAAATACAGAATGCACAGCATGGTGACTGCTGTTAGAAAAATAACTGTGTTTTTTCCATACTAGAGAAAAGCTGCGGAGTAAATACTGTAAGTGGATATCCCACTGCAGGCTACTTGTACAGCTTACCTCCAATGTTAAAAGCAAGCAGAGCCAGTTGTGCTGCCTCTGTAGGATTCTCCTGGAGTGTCAGGGGAATGTAGTGGTGGGGGTTTGTGTTGTTTAGGAGAGACACGAAGTAAAAGCCTCAACTTCAGCATTCTCTGCTTTTGCAGCTGTCACTTTGTTTGTTGCTGATTCTACAGTGGTGAAAATGTAACTGCCCACTCAAAAATGCGTGTATGGATACATTTTAGAAGAACTATATGTAGTGCCCCGTGTCTGTTCCATAGCTTTGTGTGTTCTCTGGTGCCTTGCGGAACCAGTGGCAATGTTGCCAGTATAAATGTCTTGCTACAGTACTTTCTGCTGTTGTGTGTTATACAGCACTTTGTGTCTTGAATTGAAACAAGGTTTCCTCATGCATACCTGCCTGTAAAGAGAGATGGGAAATAATTTTTTCCCTGCAGTTGTCCTGAGAAGTTTAAAGACACCAACTGTTTGTGTTCAGCTTATCAGGAAGAATGATAAGTTTTGCTTATGCATTGAGCTGGTGCCGAAATTGATTGCATGGGAGTTCTGAAATCAGTTGGAGCTGCCACCCTTCTATTAATTAAAGCATTACTGAGTTTTTGCAGGCTCTCTTTAAAAAGACTGTTTCAAGCAACTTTCAGTTGGTTAGAATGTCTGTGGCATTCTGGCTGCCCTGAGAGGCAGAGGTTTTAATGATTTACTGGCAGCACTATTTAAATTGCATATTAAATTCCTGTCTAAGAAGGTAGAATACAGCATGTCAATGTCCTCAGGACTCCTTGTATGATCTGAAATTGGGAATGAGAGGGACTAGATGAAATGGGACTGACATGCTAGAGAAAAAGCTGGAATAATGGCACTCACAAGATCAATTTTGTGAATTGATGGATTCTCTGTCATTGCCCACTAGATTTGGTAATTCGAGGGTGGTTTTAATGGAGAGAGAGGAGCTGGGCAAGCACATTTTTCAGAATCTCTGAACACTTGAGATGTGGTCTTCACTATCTGGTTACAGCCAGTCTTGGGCAGTTAAATAGCTGAGCAGAGAAGGATATGATTATGTTCTGTTTATTGAACATGTTGCAGAGTTCTACTGGTTTCCTTTAGTTGCTCAGCATGCCAGCTGTCTGAAGCATTTTCTGCTTTCACTTCTGGCCTGACTTCGCCCTAGTCCTGCCTATTCCTTGCATCACATACTACCTTAGGTACTGTCTCCCTGTGTTTCAACTTGACTTCTGACACAGTCTCATCTTGGCTGCCTATTTGGTATGTTTTTCAGCGTCTCTTTACAGACCTTTGGCCCTGCTCCTGACTTTGTTGCACAGGTCGACTTGGTACAGCCTTTGAATTTTCAGATTTGTGATGAAAATGTATGGTGAAAGTAAAGGTCTGTGTAGCCTTGTGCTCTGTTTTCAGAACTGGTTAAGAAAAGTAAAACTTAGCCTTCCCTTGGGGTGTGTATTTTCAGCTTTTTACTGATGACTGAGAGTTTCAAGTTCACTTAAAGTGTTGGACTTAACCACTAAGGGCCTGGTAGCTGGTGTCTCGCAGGATCTTCAGTTTCTGTTTAATATTAAAACAAGAATTCTGTCAGCATTTTTAGTCCAATGTCTAAGAAAGTAAGGCTTAATGTAACTAACCTAATAGGCTAATTGAAAAGGCAGGACAAATCCATAGGAAGCTCTCAGTTGCCTCTGCCTTTCAGCTTGCCAGAGTAATTTTTCTTTGCACGGTGGTGTGTTGCTGTTTGTGCTGCTGGTTATTTGTAAGATAGCTCACCTGGTGTTCCTCTGGAGCTTAGTAACATTACAGTAGCTTGTTTTTGGGGAGGTTGTAACAGTAAAGCTCCCAAGTTTGCCCATCTTGCCTGTACAGTTCTCAGATACTGATGACATCAGTGTAGTCTGATGTTTTCTGTCACATTGCCTGAAGAAAAATCTGTCTGCTTGCTTAATTTCATGCTTGATAAATAAGACCCTGCTTGCAGCATGTCCTCAGAAAAGAGCCTGCGAGTTCTGGAATTATCTTATTCATTCTTTGGCCTGAAGTAACCTAAATTCTGTCATTTGGGCCTAATGTAAAAATAACTTCCAAGTCAAGGCTGGGGATGTTAGATCTTTTGCTTTCCTTTACTTTATAATGTTTTTGCTATGGAGCAGAAATTGCAAAAGTGGGGCAAACTCAGGAGTAGGATCACTAAGAAAACAATTATGATACCAAGTATGGTTTCCCTTGTTATTTTTATTGCTTGTTCTGTGTTTGTGGGGTTTCCCCGCCCTGTTCTTTGTGTGTTAGTCTTTTTGTGGTTTATTTTGGGGCTTCTTTGTTTTTACCTCACCTTGACAGTAACCCCAGCTGGCCAAAGATGATCTTTGCCAAGCATTGTTCTATAGATATTGTCTAAGAACAGGCATGTAGGAAAAATACAAGAGTAAGGTAACTTTCCTGATACTCTGTCTCCTGAGCTGTGACAACTTGGGGGATAAAAGTAATATTTCAGAGGCTGGCTGAATGTTTGGGAACTTGCTGTAAAGTTTTACAGATTAGTTTCTCAGAACCTTCAGAATTGAAGAATTTTGGTGAGTTAGTGGCTAAATTTCCAGTGGGATAACACCATAACCAGCAGCTTTTGCTGAGTACAGGGCTGTAATTCCTTACACTGTTTTTTTTCTTCACACTTTAAGCACTGGCTGATCCGTTAGTGTAGCAAGTCTATCCCTGACAAAAGCAGATTATACAGTGTCAGTGAACTCTTCTCACAGTGGCTGGAAAAATGAAAACTGTGTTTGAGGCAAGTAGAATAGCTGATGTTTTAGTGACTCTTGAACCTTCAAGTAAGATTACATGATAAAAAAATTAAGAGGTTTTGGAAGACAACCTGCTTAAATAAAGGCATGAAGCACTATATTTGAAAATGCTTCTCTTATAGTGCATTTGGACACTGCAAAAGGGCTGTATGGGCTTTTTATTATTTTGGAAATATTCTTTGGTGTCTTTGTGACAGACATCCATGGAGTGTATCTTGTGGACTGATTTCTGATTTTTTGCTTGCGTTTATTTTGTGTCTGGCTACATACAAGAGGCTTCCCACTGAGCCAGAAAGAACATGTCTGAGATCTAATTCATCTGGTATGAGGAACAGGCAAACAAGTGACAACTGAGAAAATGAGCATGCCTTTTCTGTTGACACTGATTCTTCACAAAAAATAACATCAGTGTATATAATATCCTGGGTGCTGTACCTTTAGTGGAGCTGAGCTGTCATAGAAGACAAAAACTCTAAAGAGAGAGACAGTTTGACTGTCAGGATGTCTTTTACAAGCACTTAGGTAGCAGAGAGATTCCTGCTGCTTTGCTGGTTTGGGAGTGGCTATAGACTTTCTGATTTTTGTGGAGAGAGGAAATGGCCTATTGAAAGCCACAGCTGCATTGTTGCAGAAAGCTGCATAATATGTACTATCATGTTTTACATTATCTATGTATTGTATGTATTGATCTATTAAAAACTGAAAAATTGCAAAATGCCAAAATTTTGAAAACTGTTTTCCTCATAGAAACTTATGAAAATACTTCAATAAAGCAGCAGTAATTCAACTGAGTATTCAATTCTGCAGTGTAATATAGTAAAGTAGTTGTGTTCTTTTAACAAAAATTTTGTCCAGAGGACTAATTGATGGTGGAGTGGGAATGGGGATGTATGGGGGGGGATATTTTTCAAATAAAGAGAAAATAAAGGCTGGTCCTTGTTTTTGTTTTACTTTCTCTTCAGCTCTGATCAAATATATCCGACCAGTATTTGTGTCTCGATCAGACCAGGATTCTCGCAGGAAAACTGTTGAAGAGATAAAGAGGCGTGCCCAGTCTGATGGTAAATGGCCACAGGTACTGTATTCTGCTGCTCTCTGAGATGCAATTTGGCATTTCTAGGCTTTGCATATGCAGTTTGCTTTCTTCATTGTGGGTGGCTTTAGGTGGTTTGGGGTGGTGTGTGTGTGTGAAATTTCCCCTACCCCCTCTTTCTAAAAGATAAAATGTAAGATTCTCATGTGTCTCTTATTGCCTTGTGTTTTGAGGGAAACTGGGTAAGTACATGGCTAGACAGCTCTTTCGTGGTAACTAAATGGACAGACCACAGCAGATGAGGAAGTCCTGTAAGAGGAAAAAAATGAAGTGCTTAGCAGAATACCTGGGGAAGTACTGTGTGTTCTCACCCTTTGCAAGATTTTGGCATTGCCATTATTGAAGATGCTGGGCAAAGCAGCCCAAAAAAATTTGGATGTTCCAATAACCACCTCTGTTAAAACACATGATGAAAACCTGGGCAGAACAAGTGGCTCAGGGCTTTTTTCTGTGCCTTAAATGTGGCTATTTATAATGTGCTTGAAAGAGAGCAATGGGAAGGAAAGGATGATACATAAGATCTCAGATTCCTAGAAGCGTGTGATTATTATGCAAATTTGAAGCATTCCGGTGCTTTTTGGGTTTTTTTGAGATTAGGACACTGTATATTTTTATGGGATTATTGCTGCTAACAGTGGGTATACCTCTGCTTACTGGACTGCAAAAATGTTATAAACAGCTATAAACAATGTGACAGGTGATTTATAGCTTTTGCATTGTGACTTTGATCATTAGATTTCAAAGCAAGCTAGGACAGAGTGGGCAATAAAACTAGTAATGTTAGTCCTAGTATGGATGGGGGAGGGGGGTTTGGGGAGGGCTTTGTTTGTTTTTCTACTTTCTTCTGAAGAATTGGTTCAACTTGAGTGGTTTTGCTCTTTTTTTTAGAATTATCTTCAGGTATTTTCAGTCTCTGTCATTTGGGCATCTGTGCACATGCCAAGTAATAGCAAAGAGAAAATAACTCTTTTCTTAGCCTGTAGGCAGGAGTTTTGTTCTGGTACACTACAGACTATGATACTTTGTCTAGCACCAAAATCTTCAGTGAAAATACTCATACTTAACAAGTGTTTCTGGTCCTTGTCGGTGTTCCAATAAATAGAATTATTACTGGAGGGCAAAAAAGAGGCAAAATCACAGATAAAGAAAAATGTTTTTCCTATTAAGGTAGAACTTTACTTGACATCTTCAGCAACATTTTTTTTTTTACTCTAACTGAACTGTTTTTCCCTGAGAACATTTTTGCTGTAATCAGTTAATAACAGCTTTGAAAAAATGTATTTGTAAATAAATTCACATTGAAATAGTTCTTAAAAGTCAACTTTTTTTTTACTTCAAGATAATGATATTCCCAGAGGGCACTTGCACAAACCGTTCCTGTCTAATTACATTCAAACCTGGTAGGTATTATGCTCATTTCTCTGTTCTCTACAGAATGTCCTTGTATCTTCATTTTCTGAAATACCATTGCATTTTAATTTGCTTGCTGTTGCAAAAGTTGAGTTAAAAACCTTGCAATGGGGTGAAATTGGAATATAAATTTTGATGCTACAGGAAGATTGTAATTCTACTGTTGATCAAAAGAGTTTCAATCATTCAGGTTTTTTCTTGGCTTCTGAGATGCATATGAACCGGAGGAGTAATGTTTCTTCCTGGATCTGTGTTTGTGTCTTTTTGCTTTTGTTTTTTTCCCTTGCCCCATCCATTTCCTATTTTGGGTCTGTCATGCAGCATTTAGATACGCACTGCTACCTTAAGCTTTGTAGTGTACCTATTTCAGGCTGCCTAGCATTTGTTGCTGTGTTGTATCTGGCTGATCCCTCTCTAACTCTTCTGTGGAGTTGCATTCTGGTGAAAAGTGCATGAAAATGTTTCCCATGTAACGCTGTTACACAGGCTGCCATTTTTTACATAACATCCATGTTCTAAGCTCTTTTCACTAGGACCACCCTTTTAGTTTATCAGATTAGTAGAGGGTGTAACACTGAACATTGATGCAGCTATAAATTGCATTTCCAGTAGGGACAAATGCCAGTACTGCAGTAAACCACTAATCTTTAATGTAAACTTGCCTTTATCACCTAGGTAGGGAGATGGTCAAGAAGCTTCAGTGAGCAAGGCAGCTGTGAATGTGTTTTTGGACCTCTTAGTTTTCTGCCTAGTTTCTAGTCTTACTGTGTGTTTTGTGTTTTGTTTGGCTTGCAATTTAAATATCACTTAGAATATCGTGCAGTGAGTCAGCACTGTGGTTCCTTGCACTGATTCATTTGGCTGAAGGAATCTCAGACTTTTCTCTCAGCTCTTACCTTTTTAGATGACAGAATGGTGATTAGGGAAACACCTACTTCTGTAGCTCTTTGCTCTCCTTCTCTCTCCACCTGAATCCTGACCATGCTTTGAAAGCTGGCCTGAATCCTTCTTGTGAAGCCCTGATTTCCTGCCCTCCCTCTGTGCCATAGAAATTCCAGACACCATGTATGTCATCCTTACATTCTCACTCTATCTTCCTCTGCTCTGGTCTGGTACATGCTGCTGTCTGCCTCTTGACTGTCTCACTTTTACTACTGAAACCTGCATCTGTATCCATCCACTCTTCCAGAAATCCTTTGCTTCAAAATTCCTCACTTATATCATGTTACTTTAGGTCTCTATTCAAGTTATTTCTATCAGGATGCCTTTCTGCATTCTGGTAACATGGCCTATGCTCCTTATTCTTACTGCACATTTTCTTGGTTTTGTGTTTGTGTTTAAATGGTAGTGTTGTCATCTACCACTCAGCTTTTGTCAGCTTTGGATTATTTCAAAAGTTGCTTAGACTGTTCTTTGAGACTGAGCAGAAGGTACTGCTGGCCTCCAAATCTCTTAAGGATTCTATGCAGACCACCTTAATTTAAAGATGTTTATACTCCATAAACAATTATTCCTTTAAAGTCTCAACAGTTATTTTGCAAAGCAAATGTTATGCTGAAAATACAGTGTACTTCAATTATTCAGTTCTTAATTTTAATTGGAGTATTAGGGAGACTGTAGTAAATTGTCAAGAATAACATAATTTGAGTGAAACTCTTAATTTCTTCATGAGAGAAAGAGATGTTAAGAGAAGTCTTGGGCAAGATACTTATTACCCAATCTTTTTATTAGAAACCAAGAAAATGCTTAGGAAATGACGTAGAACTTGTGCTGCTTATTTATCAGAACTGTAATTTTCCCATGAAGTGAAGCGATGCTTCTGAATAATAGCTCTAGTTCAATATAGCTCTAGTTCAATTTGTAACTATTAGTTTTCCCATAGCTACAGAATAGAAGTGACAATAATTCTGTTATTTCAGAGATGACAAATTGCTTATAAATTATTGTTGTTCAGATAAAAATAGAAAGCTTCTTTTATATAAGAAAGCCCAAGGTCTTTACCAAAAATATTGTTGACCACAGGGAAAAAATTAACCATCTTGTGCATGCTCATTTTTTTTATATTCATTTGTTGAGCTGAATTTGGTACTAAGCTTTGACTTGTTTAAATAACAATATGTGTAAGTGGTAGAGGATAATTTAGATAATGTAAGCAAACATTTTTAATTAGAGGATATACATTGTCATTCTCCAGGGCTTGCTTTTTTGATTACTTTTGAGGCTACTTTCAGATCCTGTTTTTTCACTATCAACTACTTCCTATCAGTCTGTTAGTTGTATAGTTTTTTCTTGCTGCAGTAAATTTCTTCTCTACCAAAATGCACTTTAAATTAATTATGCATTGTATGTGCCTTCTAGGAGCGTTTATTCCTGGGGTTCCTGTGCAGCCAGTGGTTTTACGTTATCCAAACAAACTGGTAAGTTCAGCTTGCAGTGTCCTTGGAATTCAGGGCATTTTCATTGAAGTGCACTATGTAACCTTTTAGGTGTAAAAATTCAAAAATCATTACGAAGTTATTGTTAGTTAAGCATTTATTCATTAAGCCTCAAGCAATATTATGGAGTTTTAACTGAGACAGTGTAAATGTTTCTGCTTTGAAAGTTGTTCAGGTTGTTACAAGAAGTGCTCGCCAAATGATGAGACAAATGGCAATTTCTGTCCAGGATCTGTGTTCCTAAGTGCTCCCTGTTCCTGCAGTGTTTGCTGGAGAGTTTTCCTAATGCCATTTATTGCTGGAAGATGTTTTTTCATCTCCTGCCTTTGGGGGTGTTAGTCATGAATTACTGTGACTGGATGAATGGTGTAGGATGATGTGTTGAGGACCTCTGCACCTTTATAAAGTCTCATCTTGTCCATTTTACATTCACCATGCCCTTGGCTAAGCAATTAGCTAGTTTGGACTATTCTTCCAATTTAAATTATATTCAGGTAAAATGCAGATTATTGAATGTTTATTTACAATAAATGAAGTTTGTCCCCTCCTGAAGTGGAAGTTACTTAGGGAGGGTATGAAGAGTGTCAGAAGTAAAATAAGGACCTGGTCTCTTTCAGTGATGCATGTCACATCAGATGATCTCTGGCTAGCCCATTAACAACCCTTTGTTCTAAGGAAGGATTTTGTTTCTTCTTGGTGCCTTAGTTGCTTACAAATATTTCCATCCACTGTTCTTTCTGTCATTTACTGGTGAAACATAAAATATATGCTTGATTTAAAAAAAAGGATCCAAGCAAAGTTAATATACACAGACCACTATTTGCTCTTGGCTGAGTCAAGATGGAATGGCAATCAAATAGTTTGCAGTAACAGACCCAAAAATTATCGTGGCAGATGCTGTGACAAGAGTAGCAGCCTGATATGCTTACATAGTATCAAGTGCTTTGTAGCAGGCTGCCTGGGATGTTTCATTACATAATTGTTATATTTTCAGGAAGAAAGATTCTTTTCTAAAAATAGTTTGAAGTTTTGGTGGCACTGCCATTTAAAATGACAAATATGCTCATGGCTTATATCATATTAATATGCCTTGTAACTTTTTGTTCATGTTAAGCCCACAGCAATATAAAGCTATACAATGTTATTTTGTAAATATCTTCAAAATCCAGGTGCATACTGAAATGTCATTATTGCCTGTAGTACATAAAATTCAATGTTTGTAAACCAGTAGTAAATTTTCCTAACACTTAGTAACAGAAATTTGTAAGCTTCTAACATTGGAGTAAAACAATATAAATGTAAATTAAAATTTTTATAATTTTTATGTTACTGCAAAAATGTCATAAAAGAAATTCTAACTATTTATATAGATATCCATTGTGAGCTGGCATGACTTTGTATATGGGACTTAAGTTTTTCCTACTACTTTTACTTGCTGTAAAACACTTTGTTTTCAGTGCTCGAGTCATTTAGCTTCCTATGATCTAGTTCCTAGAGACCTTCCAGAGGTCTAAGCATTAATGACAGGAGTGATAATTGCTATTACTGCTTTATTTTCACGTTAGCTTGGGGGTTGCAGAAGAGTTGCATCAGAGTTAGAGGCAGAAGGAATATGATGTGGTACACAAAGGTGAGGTTTATTTTGGTTAGGAATATAGAATTAGATTATTTTGTTTCAGTTATCGAGCTATTCTCATCTCCACCTACAAGGCAAGGCTTACCTTTTCATCCCAATTCTCCTGCCCACCCTGGGGGACGAGGAGTGAGTGAGCAAGCAGCTGTGTGGTACTTAGTTGCCAGCTGGGATTAAACCACAACACATGTAAGAACAGAGTAGGGAATGGGAATTGGTTTTCATACACTAAGATGACATTTTTAGCAAACTTTAAATCTCTCTGGCTTTCTACTTGTTGCCTTGGTTGACTGATGCATATTATAATTTTAGATTTAGAAAGGAACTTCTTAAGATCTTTGCTGAGCCGGTGAACTCTAGATATGCATTGTGTGCAGTCACCCCACTGTGTTTTGCTTGAAGTGCCTGCTCTGATCTATGCTCAGAGCTTTGAGTTCCACAGTATGGATGAGAACAGTCTTGGATTTGAGTGCACCTGGCTGTTTTGAGAGGCTTTTGGAGATCAGAGCCTGGGGTGAATGTAGTAGGTGTCTGCGCTCTGGAATGTTTATTTCGTTGTAGTCTGTTGAAGAGCTAGGGAAAGCACTACTGTTCTGCAGTGGGCTGAAACTTGACAAAAGTGAAGAAGTAAATTCAGGGGGTTTTTGCTAGCAAATAAATCTAGTTCTGGTTGCTGTGAAGAGCTCTGTTTTTATATTTTTTATAGAGTTGCTCCCTGAATAACAGTCATCTTGGGGCTTGTGACTGTTTGTATTAGATGACATCTCTGGTCCTGTATCAGTGATTTTTAGTAGTAATATTTTAATGTGTTTCTCTTCTTGATGGATGAGCAGAAAGAAATTTTAATGCTTAAAATGTTGTTTAGGCCTGATATTCCAAATTTTGCTGCTGGTTGTCTAGATTGGTAATATTTTAGGTATTAGATGCCTGAGAGCTATTACCTATATTCTAGTTAGAATAAATGCTCTAATGTCTTCACCCATAGGTTCTCTACTGCAATCCTTTTTACAATTTTTTACTTCTTTCCCTTGTTTCTTCATTTGAATTACTCTGTCAGAGTAGTGTTACTTATGAAATGATGAAAATATATAAACTATATACCTGTTTAGATATCTCAGAGCCCTTTAAAATGCATTTTATGTCCATATGCCTTCCATGAGTAACTGTGTTATTTGATAAGCAGTTTAGCAGCAGCTCTCGTACAGTTTTTGTATATCAGGGTAAACTGAACCTCTGAAAACACAGCCAGTCTCCTGTTTGAAGGTTGGCATATGATTCTCAATGTCTTCTTGTGTCAAATACAAACTCTGTGGAAGATGGCTCTTCTGCCTGTTTCTTCCCATGCTGAGGGGAAGTAACAGAGGGGAGAACATTCAAGGTCAGGTTGGATGGAGCTCTGGCCAACAGGATGTAGTTGAAGATGTCCCTGCTCATTGCAGGGGAGTTGGAATAGATAGCCTTAAAAGATCCCTTCCAACCAAGCTATTGTATCATTTTATGTACTTCCACACAATTTAAAGTATTCATTACTTGGATACAGTAGTTTCAAAGAATGCTGTCAAAGGGAATGTTGTCCAGAAGCGCAAGCTGGTAGCTGTGGTAAATATAAAAGGTAAGTTAGTTATGTAAGGAAAATCCTACTTCCCTTTGTATGCTTTTATCATAAAGATATTGGTTATGCTGGTAGAAGTCTCTTATAACATGGATCTGCCTCTTGCAGATCAGAATCCCTTTTTCCCCTAGCCATTTCCCTGGCCATTATCCCTGATGCATCCTGATTCTTCGACGAAAAAAAGCATGACTGTCAACTATGACATTTGCATTGGGAATTTCTTGCAGGACTGTTGATGACTTACTTGAGTTTGACTTGCCAGCTAGCCAGCACAAGGCTGCATTCTGAAAATACCTGTGCCCTGTTCAATGACCCAGACACTTTCATGGAGATCACATTTTTCTTTATCTCACTCTGTGCCTTTGCAATTTAGAGAGTGGAGTTGGAGATGTGTAGTGCCTGGTGCTCTATAAGGCGAATTAGTCTCTAGATAAGTTATCAGCTATCTACACTGGTTTCTCATGGTTTGTAATGAAAGTTCCTTGTGGGAAAAACACAAAAACCATAGTACATTTACTTGCAGTGTTATCAGAGACATCAAAATAGCCAGAAACTGTGTAACAGTAAAACTACCCACATTATAGTTGTAAAATATCACTACATGGAGGTGTGGTTTTCTAATGCAGATTAATTGATTGCTACAGATAGATTCATCCTTTATTGTATTTTGTTTGATTGAAAATAATTGTTAAATGTCAAGTTTTAAATTTTTAGTGGATCTTTATGACGTGCTGACCCTATTCTCTAAGCTGTTGTTCTATCATTAATCACATTTTTCACCATTTATGGATAAGTTTGTTTCCTTTTATTTTTACTTTAGGTGGCTCTAAATGGTAGTTAAAACTTGAGTTAACTTGTTTTTTTCATAGTCATGGCACATGTGATCACCTGAAATCTCTAGAATGGGTTTGGATGGTAGCATAAATCTGAACTGGAATATGTTCAGTAGGTTGAAAAAATATTTTTCTGATCAGGTTTTTCAGAAACCTGAATTTAATGTGTCTTCTTGTCTTTACAATAATGACTTGAACTCTTTTTCCAAGTTAGAACTAATTTTTAGGTTTTAGATCCTTTTTTGTACATTTAAATCACATCTCTAAGTACTGCAGTCTTTTTCCTGTGCCGTTTCTTGATATTAGTTAAAAATGGGATGATTTTTACCCTCATATTCCTACCTGTTACATATTGCTTTACAGGTCTCTGTTCCCTTTTTGCTATTTGCATCTTGTTCATTTCTTTTACTGTGATTTGTCCTCTCTTAGTGCTTCACACAGTGTTCATTTTGGCCATATAGCTGTATAAAAGATGGGCTGATCCCTAACAGGGTTAAGAACTTTAGCAAAGAGAGCATAGAAGTTTCCATGAAAGTTTCTTAGTAATATATTGTCAGTTATGCTGTGTGCAGTGTAAAAAGTTGAATGCACATTAATTAATTGCAAATGTCACACTTCTTTTCATAGGACACAATCACATGGACATGGCAGGGGCCAGGAGCGTAAGTGGTTGATATTTTATTGCTTTTATCATTGCTTTCCTCGCTTAGTGTTTATTTATATGACTTATGTGCATATATAGTCAACCAGTTGCTGGTTATTTGATTATTTTTTGGGATTAATTTATCTTTTATCTCTTATTCTCTAATTATACTAATAGTCATTTAGCAGTATCCAGGTGTAAATAATGTACTTCAGCTGCTATGATTCTCTTGGTTTGCAGAAAGAATTTTAGGTTTTTATTTCAATTTTTTTTTTTTAACCAAGTGCCTGAAGTAAAACAACTTGCTTCTGCTCTATGCTTGCAAGTTGATTTGGTATCTTACTGTATAAAATCTATGGCTGTTGTTTGAAATTGGTCTACTCTCACAAATGCAGTTGACCCACTCAAAGAATTTGGAGATACTGTTTCCATTATCTTGTCTGAATATAATTTCGACCTTTTTTTTAAACAAAATATTGTTCTAGAAGTTCTTTAGCAAATTCATGCAATATAAGATATTAAAAGAAGCAGTTCTTGCTTGTTTAAAAAAATGTTAAGCATTATTTTCTCATTGGGGTTTGAATAAAAATTTCAAAATGTTTGGACCAAGAGGAAAACAGCAAATTTTGAACCCTAATTAAAGGAGTTTTGGCTTCTGTGGTTAATGCTTTGTATTGTTTTGAATGTCCCATGTGACATCCTATATTTCAGTAATAATGAGGAAACCATGGGGATTAACCAAGATTCAAGTAATTTAGAATTTTGTCAATTAAGTTTTGCACTTAGGATCCAGGTCTAATTAAGGACATGATTTTGAGACTTGAGGAAATCACTGATCACTTGCAAAGGTTCAGGTTGCAAATGATTTGTCACTTTGGAAGTAGATGAGTCCATGGTTGTGTATAATGTAAACACACTGCAGCATTTGCTGCACAAAGGGATTTCTGTTCTTGTGAGCTCCTGCCTCTTCCCTTGCATTTGCACTGCAATTCATGTGAAAAAGTAACTCAGCCATAGAGGAGAAAGGTGAGCAGCTTACTTCCACCTTAGTATCCTAACTGAGGACTCAAGAACACAGGGGAAGACAGAAGAAACCTGTAGGTGTCTTGCCTCAGCTCACTATAGTGTCTAGAAAACCCTTATTCTGAAGTGTTGATCTCTGCTAATAAAGTTAAATTAAATTAAAGCTGAATCAGAATCTGCAGCAGCATGTGATGTTATGCAAATTGACTGGGTCAGTTTAAATTACAGCTTGGCTTAATTAGGATTAATTCTCCTGGGTGACCTAAAATGTATTTGTGATGTCTTAGCAGAAAATGCTGTTAAGACTGATAACAGGCTTCCTTTTCTCAGCAAAAATATCTTTATGTTTTGACTAACACTAAAACAGAAATCTGGAAATGTTTCTGTATCTAGGAGTATTCTGTTTGTTTAAAAGTGCTGTAGCCTGTCAGATGGATTGAAAACTTGTCACATGCAAATTTAGTCATTGAAAGTAATGTTTTTACTGCCTTGGCAGTGTTCGGAACAGATCAACTGAGTCTACCTTGATAACAAAGATTGACCATAGTTAGATACAGATTCTATCAGTTTTAAATTTTCATTTAAATTCAGGGTTCAATCTTTGAGGATTACAGAGATGGCAGAGAGAAAAGTTTACTTGTAACTTATTGGGGGTTTTTAATGCTCTTGAACAAGGACCTAGAAACCAGACTTTCGTGTTTCTGTCAGGAACATAAACTTCAAATTACTCCATTGTTGTTCCTGACTCTTTTCTTTGCCTTGATGTGTTGGAAGCTCAATAAGAAGGAAGCAGGGGGGAAATGTTTTACAGCCCTACATGGGTGTATTACAAAATGAGTAGGGTTTTGCTTCTAGGAACTGCACTTTATCTGTGTAAGAGGATTTTGGCCTGCCATCCCCTCACAATGATTGACTACTGTAACTACCTAGATACTGTATGAAAATGTGACTACTTCACACTGCTCCTTAATTTAGGTTTACTAAATCCTTTCCTGGATTTGAATCTTAATGCTTTCTAAGGTCAAGTTGATTCCAGTTATCTTGTATCTTAGGCTATTAAAACACACATACTGCATTTCATTAACAGACTTTGGAAGTATAATGAACTTTGATTCCAAACTGAGGTAATGATAAAATCTCAGTGGTTGCATAATTAATCTTGCCAGCTCTGTGCTGAATACTGCATTTTCTAAAACAGACTTACTCCTCCTTTAACATGTTATGCATGTATTACCTTTCACTGTTTGTCTTCCTGTTTTTGAGTATTTTTAAGATGCCAATTCAGTGTAAACTTTTGTTCCACCTTACAGAATGTAATATACAGAAGTACTTCCAAAGGCCTTTTCTGTTAATTTTTATCTGAATATGATTATCCTACAAGTAGGATGTTATGTGAAGACTTTGGAGCATAATGTATTAATGTTTCACTATATATATTTTTTTTCTCCATCCTTCCCTATCTTTTTCTCCTTTTAGGTTTGAAATTCTGTGGCTTACTTTATGTCAATTTCACAATTCTGTGGAAATCGAGGTCAGTAAAAAAAACTCCAGTGTATTCTGAGCAGTTGTAGAATACATAATATTGTACATAATTCTACAGTAAAAGTTTGTATTCATAACTTGTGTATATGTCTGTGAAAACAGGTTAAGATACTACTTGTATTTTATACAAATGGCTTCTGTATCTGAAAATACAGTCTAAAAATGGAATAGCAAAATACAGTTTTCCTGTTGGCATAAGACTTTATTTTTTTTTTAGTGATTTGAATTGAGTGGATAAATTTCTGACTCACTTTAAAAAGTCTTTTGTGAACAAATTTCTTGTCTTCTAATGGCCTGATTGCTCTTTCAAGTAGTGTACCAGCTTTGTATGTTAGACATTCAAGTGTGTGAATGCTGATGTATGAACTAAGAAATGTCTTGTAGAGAAAAATTGGAGGTGGTTTCTTAGAGGCCATATAAGTTATTGAATGTCTGGCTAATTTTTTTATTAGGCTGCACTGTTCAGAATGTGAAATAGGAAAACACAGAGAAAATCTATCAATATTCTTAACTTTATTTTGAGGAAAATACTGTAATTTTGAAGCTGAATACTATTGTAGTGAAAACATGGAAACAATTATAGGCTTTCCTTTCAACTTGTTGTCCCTATTGCATTTTACACAGAGTAATTGCATTTTTGTGGACAATTACAGTATTTGAAGTGTGTCGTATAGGATATTTGACAGATGTTCTGCAATTCTTTCGCTTTTTGAATAATGAAGCAGCTATTTAGGTCTGACAGATGGAACTGATGGCAGGGTAAATCAGTAGGAAGAACTGTTGCATGTTTGCATACACTGTGTTACAATAGTAACATATATTGCATGCCGATCACTGTTCTCTGATCATTGCTCTGTGTTTGCTTATTTTTGCAATCAGTTATTCTCAAAATTAATGAATATGCAAAACACCAGCCACTCAATAGTTGTATGTGTTGTAGAAATTTGTGGTTTGTGTTATCAATTCAGTTGGACAAAAATAAATGTGATTTCCAGAACAGTGGCCTGTGTTTTGCAGAAGGGCCAGGGAGTGACTTCCTCACTCAGGGCTGAGACAAACCAGCTTGTTGGCAGGATTTTTACCCTTTCTCAGGAACATGGTTTTCTGCTCTAGGCAAGTAAAATGGGTTCTTTCACACAGGAGTGAACACTGCTGAGCTTTCTTGACTTTTGAGGCAGCAGCTGCTAGCAGATGTTGGGTTTCTGTAGCTCTTACATAACAAGCTATGATCTTTGGTAGTTCTTGGGGGAAAAAAAAGGCAAACTAACTAGTGACCTTCTGAAATACTCCATACTAAAGCAGTAGTTGGCAGAAGATAGAGGAGTAAACCTGTTTGCAAGGTTGCTCTCAAGTATGAGGCAGAGTAATGCCTCAAGGCAAGTATGAGGCTGTGTTAATGTGAATGGCAAAACAAATGTGTTTGGGTATCAAAGTTTTGAAGTTAAAATGCAGATGGGAGTGAAACAGTGTTGATGCCTGGATGACGTGGTTACTACCTTGATAACTGTAGACCAATTAACATCAACATAGTTAAAAATTACTTACTTCTGACCACTTCCAGATGCCTCCTTCTTGTGTCAGTTCTCTAGACTTTCCCAGGTTATGCAGCTTTTGGTACAGGAGATTCCAGCTCAAATGCTGTCAAGGCGCTTCTGGAGCTGTAGCAGTTGAATCTGGTTTTGCAAGGAAGTGCAGTGAGGACTAGTAACATATGGGAAAAATTGGTTGTTTTGTGTTCAAAGTCATATTTTTCCTCTGGTCTCTGAAGTTTGTTGGTGGATATTCCTGCTCTGTTCAATCAGCACAGATACTGGCAAAAACCTAGGAGCCTGGATACCAGAGTTATCTGCTGATGATTCAAGAACTCAGGAAGACCTCTAACAAAACAACACAACCTTAGAGGTTTTTTTTAATTAAATGATAGCCAGTAAGATTTACCAGTCAGCAATCAGGATCCAAATTTAGCTAGTCTGGGCTTCTCTGCATATAATATATGTTCTGGCATGTTATGTTTGTCATCCAGTGTCACTATAAAATAAAATCTATGTAAGTTTTATAATAGGTTTCTGTAAATATTTGCCCATCCACCCATCTTGTACTTAAAAATGGCATGCTGGCAAGGTGAAGAAGAAAGGATGTGTGATCATCTGCACATGTTGTTTGTTTTGGCTCTTGTCTGTTTGTTTTACTGACCTGTCAACTTCAGTGTTTGTACATCCATGACAGTCTGCAGCAGCTGAGAGTTCTTCTCTTGGTTTTGTTAGTGATGTTGAAATGATTATGCTGTTTATGTTGAGTTAGGCACAGACATGCAGAACACCTCTGAAATCACCTCATATTCAAACTTCTCCTGTGTTTGGGCAAATTACTTAATAGCCATTTGCAACTCAAATAAATGGAATGAGGTTTGGAAGTTGAAGGAGCAGTCTTTCCATCTCTGTTAACTGCACAGTCTTTGTGGTTTTGTATATTACATGAGGCTGGTGTACCTGCTTGTAATGTAAACTTAGAAGACAGGAGTCATGTGTTTTGAGCTGCAGTGGTGCACGTAGGAAAAACTCCAGCAAAACTCAAAATAAATTCAATATTTGTCCTTTACAGGAAACAGATGAATGTCCAACAGCAGTGTTTGAGTACTGTTGATCATACAGTTATGATCAGTAACTTTAGAAACACAGCTAATTTTAAAACACAGTAATTTTAAAAACACATCTAGCTTTGTGGTTATTGAGAAGTGTTTGCTGAGATTATGAACTTTAAAATAAAGACTAACAGCTTTACCCAGTTGTTAGTTTCTGGTTTAAAGACCAGTGTGAAATTTCTGGGTCATAATTTCCATTTTCCCTTCCCGTAGGTAATTATATGTACTGCAACTAAGCTTCTTGCAGCTTTTTTTCTAATACAGAAGCTTTACACAGGATTGTGAGCATTTTGCTCACTTAGTGCATAAATTATCTCACTGTGCTGCACTACTAAGAGAGTTGTGTGTCTGGTACTGACTAGGAGTGGTGATCAGAGTGATCCTCTCTTGTTCCTCCTATCTGGGAAGTTTGTCATTTGGCAGAAGGAAATGTTTTGAAGGTTTTTATTGGTGAGATTGGCTGTGATCTTGGGGCTTACATAATTTTTCAATGGACACTTAAAAACAGCTTTAAATACTGGAAGATATTTTAATGTAGGCCATGCCATTCTGAAAGCTGCCCTTTCTGTGGTGGGTCTCCAGCAGCTCTGGTTTAATTTTCCACTTTCCAACAACTATTCTGTGGTTCTCTGGTCATCTGCATTCATTTAGATTTTATTTCAATGGAGCGTTAATGGCTTATGTCCAATTAGAAGGAAAAAAGTTTCAAAACATCTAACAGCAGAAAATAAAAACACTTTTCCTGTGTATATTAGGCAGTCGTACATGTTTTCAAAATGTGCAGGGGGAACAGTAAATACCTGATGTCCTTAAAATTTGGATTCTTAATTTTTAAGTTATAAAACAATATTCCTGTAGCATGTGCTTTTTTTGGTTATCTGAAAAGAGCTGAACAATACAGAAGGTAAGTGAGGTTTATGCAAGAAAGTGCTAATACTTCTAAATTATTTTAAAATTCTGAGTCCCACTTAGGAAATGAAGATAAAACTCTACTTGGATTCCGTGTGGTGAGAAATGAGCAGAGTCAGTGTTATATGAATTTCTAGAAGTATGACATATGCTTAAGCATTTAAAAGTTTTATTTTTAATATTTTCTGTAGTCTTAATGTAATTTTCTGAGTAACAACAAACTGTATACAGTTTTCACCCTAGTGCTGTAAGACATTGTTTAAAATGTTAAATATTTTTGGTATAATTCAGTTCTCTGTATGCAGTTTCTACCCGTGTACATTCCTTCAGAAGAAGAAAGAAAAAACCCAGTGTTATATGCCAATAACGTCAGGCGTGTAATGGCAGAGTAAGTATGTTGTAATTCTGTGTAAAAATAGATCTGTGATTTTAAATTTAGAAAATACCACGAAATCAAGTTGGTGTGGTTGTCTGCCTACAAAGAACCTTGTAGTCTGCAGGAATGTCTGCAAGACCTTTTACATAATAGTTACTTCCCCCTCTGAGGAGGCCAGGGAGCCACAAATACAGCAAGAATTGTTGGAGTTGATGGGTTTGGAATATTTTTTTTTTCTGTTGGTTCTTTTGGGGGTTTTTAACATGCCTTCATATAACAAGCCAGTTCTGTTTGCTCCAGTGGGTATTTAGTCTTTTGGGGGAAGGGTATGGTGGAATTTTAGCAAAGTTATGTAACTGAATTTTGTGCTATTGGGGTTGCATTTTAAGCTGCGACTGTTTTAATGAGGTTAAGAATAGTTTCATGTGTTCATTGTTAGCCAGTAGTATTTCAAACAGTAAAATGCAGTGAAGTGGCTTTATTTCCATTGGAAACAGAGAATTGATACAATGTAAGTTATTTGAAGTTAATGTTTATGTGAAGACGGTTAAAACACTTGTCCATAGGGTATAATAAAGGCAACATTTAATACTTTCACTCTTGTTGCATTTTTATTCATATCTTTTTCATTTATTTTTTTGTTCTTTCAGTAAATCTTCCATTAGTCAGTAGATAACTCTTTTCCATATTTACAGTGAACCCTCAGGCTTGTGATCACTAATAACTCTTGAAAGGTTTATGTATCTTCCTAATCCTGATTTTGAAAGAACTTGTGAAATCATAATTTCCTTTGTGTAACTTCTCTTCCGTTTCCTATTTAAGCCGAAGGCCAGTTTGTAGGTAGTAACTGAGAATTCTTGTCTGCTTGAACCCAGGTCTGTGAGTTTCCTTAAGGATGTTGAGACAATAATATAACAATAGATCCATTGTACAAAAGGACATTCCTCAAAGGAGAAAAGAACAAAAGGACCTGTTTGAATCATCCTGTCTTGGAGTCAAAAATCTTTGAGGCACTGGCCTCAAAGACTTTTGTTGTTAATTAAAGACCATCACCTGGCAAGTGCTGTCCTCAGACTTTGTGTGGAAGGCCAGGTTATTAAATCTTCATTCTGAACTCTGCTCCAATCACATAACAGGGATTGTGTGCTATAAGGAATACTTTTGAAAGCCTACAGAAGTTTACAACAACTGGCATGTTGCAAGCCTTCCCCTCTAAGTATGCTTAGGAGGAAAAACATGATTGTTTCTCTCTCCCGCCCCTGAAGAATTAAGCATTTGTGGTCACAGAAGAGGAGTGCAGATCTAACAGGAAGACTGTCAGAATGAGAGATGTCAAAAAAGACTTTGGAACGAAGCAGGGGCTGTAGATGCTGTGTTAATGTGAATGGGGAAACAAACGTGTTTGGATATCAAAGTTTTGAAGTCAAAATGCAGATGGGAATAAACCAGAATGTAGATGCCTGGACACCATGATAACTGTAGACCAAGTAACATCAACACAATTAAAAATTATTTACTTCTGACCACTTCCAGATACCTCCTCCTTGTGTCAGTTCTCTGGACTTACTCATGCAGCTTTTGGTACAGGAGATTCCAGCTCAAATGCTGTCAAGGCTTTCTGGAGCTTTAACAGTTGCAACTCAAGTACCTTGGGTGCTGTTTGGTGGTAGCATTGCACTCTGCATTGCTGGATAAAGGACAATATTACTGCTTCATCTAGATTTTCTTGAGGATTGACTTAGTGGCAGTGTAGCATCTTATTGTCAAGAGATCCTTCTGGCATCTCTTTAGGTGTCTTCTTACTCCTCCTCCCCATTATTTTTCTCAGGCAGAAGTGCCTAATTCTACTGGATATTTTACAGCATCAAAGGTGGCACTTGCAGGTAATAACGTATTTGTGAGTGTAGAGCCAGTGTTGTGGAAACCTTGTGTCTTGCTCTTGGTTTCAGAGGGAGTTGATAGAAGTTGCTGAGTGAGCAATAGATACAGTTTCTCCTCTTGAAATTGTTTGCCTTCACAATAATCTTAATTTGTGAACAGCTTCTATTTAGCATTGAACACAGCATTTGACAAGACATCTGTATCTTATGCTGCTTCTGCTTGTTGACTCTCTGAAGAATTTTTGGTTTATCCATATTTGACTAGCTTTCCTGTGGGTGGCCACAAATGTGAGTGATGGTGGTCTCTAGATACTCTATATATATATATATATAAAAGTGAGCACCAAATATTTTGTTAAGGAGGTGCTGTCATTCATGGAGGTTTGCTTCTTTAGGATATTAGTTCCTTGCACATTGGATAAATTTACTTGCCCAAAAACTGAATGCCAAAGTGTGCCTGTGTTATTAGAACTGGAATTACTCATACAGGAGAGCCACTGCTGCTGAACATGCTTGCCATCCTTTGGGTCATTTTCTTTATTTGCACAAAAGGTATGTGCAGAATAGATTAATCTGCTGTTTAAAATATTGTCCCTACTTATATCTTAATGATATGCTTCACATTTAATTTTCTCATAAAACTCATTTTTGAGTGAGTCTGTCTTGTTTGGGCTTTCTGGCCTTGTTCTGGCTCCTACTCAGTTTAGTCAATGCTCGTGTCACCCACCAAGTGCTATCAGGAGCTGTGTTTAAAGTCACTTTCCAATCACTGAAAATGTTGAGTGCTTTTAAATATGGCATCAGTCCCAACTAGTACTTCAAAAGCAAAAAATAAAGTGTTAATTCATTTCATAAAGTGTTAATTCATTTCATGTGTTCTTTATTGGCTCTAACAAAACACTGAAACCACCCTACTAGTAAGTAATGCCATGTAGGTAAATATTATATTGCCTTACTTTCTTATTACTTAAGCAAAATCATCATTTTGGTCTTCATGTGCATAACCTATTATCATCTGATGTTGATGGTAGCCAACCAACCGTGTTTGGTCTGGTAATTTCTTGAGTTCCACAGTTTCTTCTCTATATTTTCTACTGGAGTGTCAAACATTCTGGCCCATGTTGTTTTTTGGGATTTTTTTAATCTTCAAATTAATAAGTAATAGTTTACTGTAACTATGTCAGTGTTGTAAAATTGTCAGCCACTTGAAACTTCAATCCCAGCTTTTCCAGAACTATTAGGAACAAATCACTTGACCTTGTAATCACAAGTATTTGTTTCTAAAAATTTCTCAGTGCTAGAGGAAATATCTCCATCACTCTTAGAGCATTGGGAAATACTTACTTTTATTCATAAGATTTGTTATCTTAATTGTTTGCTAATGTAAGTATTGCACATGACAGAAGAGTTTTTTTCCTAATGACAATTTTCCTATCCTTAGCTAGTAGTTGGTTACATTATTTTTTTGTATTTTCTCTTATGCATTAAAAAGTCTTATGCTTCTTAGCTGCATTAACTACAAATTTTTATGCATTTTTACCTATGTTGTTTTGCTGCATCATAGTTCTTAATTTACTGATAGCTATTTAAAGAATCATTTGTTTTGTGGTTTGTTTGGAGTATTTTCCCCTAAAGAAAATATATTAGTTGCCTCTTTTCATTGTGGAGTTGTACCCATCTGCTACTGTTCTTAAGTGCCTAATTTTCATGAGCAATCATATTCTGAAAGACATCTCTTAGTTGTACTCAAAGTACTATTTAGGGTATAGAAATTCTGTTTGAAGGAAAAAGTAGATAACTTTTACTGCCACTTTGGGGGGAAAACCAAGTTTGTTACCCTGCTGCTCTTTAGGACTCAGATATGTTTGAAAGAAGTATGTCAGTAGCTTAGCTTTTAGTTAGCTGCAAAAATTCATTTTGTACGTAAATAAGCCAGTGGTAGTGCAGGCAGCTGATTGTGAAAATCTGCACTGCAGGTTCTTTGTGCAAGTCTAAAGTAACCTCAGCTGAAATTACAGATTTAAGCTGACTAGATGATGATACACAGACCCACAGGTCACTTATTCACGTGCAAACACAAGTTGTTTTCCTTTAGTTTTAGTTTCTCTTAAAGACTGTCTTCAAAATAGGGAAGAATATGGTTGGGTGGTACAGCTTGGGAAAAAATAGAAGACAAATTGTTGCAAATTTGTTTGGGTTTTTTTTGCATGTGGCAGATGTTGAGACTGAAACTTGATGGAAACCAGAAACCTTTGGCCCTTTGTTTTTCAAAACTGTAAGCACCTCAGAACTTAAGTTCTTTCAGTACTCCTGATTTGAGCATTTTGTATTCCTAGATCTTTTGAGTGTTAAACTCAGCACTGTAATGACATGTGTGACACTCTCCAGGAGTTCTGAAGTTTCATTTTTGGTGAGCCCAGAAAGGCAGCCTTCCTGTAGAAATAGCAAAATGTCATAGTCCAGTTTGCATTTGTCCAGTAATTTTGTTTTTCTTCCTCACTTACAGAAACATTTAAAGATGTGCTTTTATATTTGCAGTAGATGCTGAAATTGATTAAAGTGCAGCATGTTAGACACGGAACTTGAAACATCTGCCTTCCTGATGTTTTCTGTCAGGTGCTTGCCAGGACCACTTTCCCTGTGTTGGAGCATGTCATACAGTTAAAGCACTGACTTACCAGCTTGACATATGAGCATTACATTTTGCTTTTGAAAAATGAGTACTTTTATCCAGCATGCTGGTGAAGGTAGTCTTCAGTGTCCATCTTCCCTTTTGTCATCTTCTACACAGTCAAAATCAGGGTTTGGTTTTTTTCTTGCAAGCTCTGACAGCATCAGAATGTGATCTTTGCCAATATATGTGATAGATCAATGCGAGTTGCAGAAGAGTATCCTTGAGGATGGGAGTTTGCAGTAGCTTACTGGTCTGACTCGTGGCTATTTGCTGTATTCAGTGGCCTGTTGAATCCAGCTTTTGAAAAACTGCTGTGTTTTGTGCCTGTGCTGTCTGAAATTCCTTGTGTGATTCTGCACAGGTACTGTTTGCATGCTCACCATTCAGCTTTGAAATCCAAACTGGGTTTTTGGCATTTTTATGCCATTAAAGCCATAAGCATCAGTATAAGTGGAATT